AGGGATAGGTCCCAGTTCTCTAGAGGGAGAATCATGTGCAACAGACTGTACATGTTGAGGAGTAGTACCTCAAAAACAACTCCACGAAGCTTAATGGACCGAGCGAGCGACGAAGAGTCATCGCATGATCTCGCTTGAGAGAATGCATTGGTGGATGCATTGTGAGATCAAGTGGGGGAGCGAGCCAAAGCAACATAAATAAAGACACACTTGGAGTCGATATAGAGATCAGACTCAAGGGAGGGCTGACCCATTTAATGGTGGGCATGAGGGCCACCATCAACTCAATGCAAAATGAGGAGCGGAGCAACTTAGGTGTAACTTGGTGAAGTACCCAAGCCGCATGAAATGAGTCGACATAGAAGATGGAACATGGAGCAGAGGCACAGAGCTTTCCCTGGACAGAGGTCAAGGACATGAACTCTTGTAGAGGCAAGAGCAGGATCATGTTGTTCCACAGGTCCTTCATTCTGATGGAGTGGACTCATCTTGCATGGTGCCAAAGATGAAGGGAGCGTCTGGGCACATGAACCTTATCTCGGAGAAGCATTTGATGGAGGAACTAAGGTGACTCAACTTGCGGAGGCGAAATTGGGTTCGGAAGGCCTTGGCAAGGGGCAAGAGGATGCGGAGGTGGGTACTCTTGAAGAATATGCCATAGTGTTACCATTCAAGTTGCCATAAAGGAAGCGCTGCGCAGCGGAGATTGTGCTGGTAGGGGTAGAGACCCAGGATCCAAACAATGGTGCACTAATTATAGCGAAGTCGGTGGACTTCGGGAGCTACTAGGCAACGGACTGTCCTAGAGCAGTGCTTCATCTAGGTGTGACCCAAGAGTGGGTGGATGAAGGTCGATTGCCAAAGGAGCGAACAAAATTGAAGGTGGAAGAGACCCTGCGATATATTGGTCGAGGCCACACAAGAAGGAATCACAATTCGAGTTCATCCCATAAGGATCAGAATGCAATAAAGATTCCACCATGAGGCGACATGGTGCAGCAGATCATGGTGGAACAGTTCATGGGAATGCGATACACACGACATAGTGCCATGAGGGACTATATCATACGGAGGTATGATCGGGAGCTATTGGGAGCTTCACTTCGGTGAATAACATGACGATAAGAAAGGCTATGGATTTAAGGAGTGAAGGTCATAGTACCACAGAGGCGGGTCTTCCGTGCGTGTATCGAGTTTTGCATCAGATGAAAGCCTTGACCATTAGCATATGTGGGCTATGTATCACCGAGGGAAAAGTTCAAATGCAAATACCAGTGAGTCCCATGGGAGGGATTTGATCATGCAGAGATATAATCGAAGCAACTGGAGAGTTGGACTACTCCAGAGCCTATATTCGCTTAAGAGAGCCTGGCAAGTCAGAGGACAAGGTCGAGTAAGCGAACGTTGCTACCAAGGAAGCTAAGGAGAATAGAATCGGTGCAAACCATATAACTTGATTGTAGGGGCCATGCATGAGAGTTATGAGTGCCGACCATATAAC